TGCACTGGGGATTTCCACTTGAGAGGGAGACAGAGACAGAGACAGAGAGAGATGCACTATGAAAAGGGAATAACTTTTGTAGTATTAGCGTTTAGACTTACAGACATTTAACAATTTAATTGATCTCAACCCATCTGCATATATTCTTCACTTGCTTTTCCTAAAATGTTTTTTAAGTGCCCCTATTAGGAATCAGTACATGCCTACTTTGAAATTCACACACAGATACATGCTAAAAGCCAATCAGATTAAGAGTACACTTATCTTGATGAGCACTGAGTAATATATGGAACTGTTGAATCACTACATTGTACACCTGAAACTAATATAACGCTGTGTGTTAACTATACTGGAATTAAAATTTTTAAAAAGCCAATCAGAAAGCAACAATAAAAACACACCTGGTAAGCAACTAAGTTTTAATTCAAAGGATACTAAGCCATAAACGGCCTAGAATGAACATCCCAATTAGCCAATGTAGTGACAAGCAGTCAACACCTTATTATTTAGTCATTAAAGAGAATCTTGCCATAATTTCCCTTTACATATTTCAAAAAAAAAAAGGAATTAAAAGTACAACACAAGACCCACAACAATCAAAGAGTAAAGTTAGATGAATCTAAGACCCCCATTGATGCAAGGCCTGCGGACTGAGAGTTTCCAAGACAAAGGCATTAATTGGGACCCTGTGAAGTATTTACAATTTAAATAAGATGTGTCCATGTGTAAGCATTTAGAAACAAACTACCTGACAAAGGGACCCTTTTCCTGTCTCTTGCTGTTTGTGGCCAGTTTTCTTATTGGATGGAAACAAATTGCCTGCATTTCTAGTATTGGTAAATATCCAATGGCCTCATCTATTTTTTCTAAAGCAGCAAATCCAATTCATCAAGGACATTAGGCTGTCCCTTGCCCTCTCATCCCCATTCCTTACCATAACACCTCCCCCAAAAGAGAAAGCTAAAATCTCCCTTGGATGCATCCCTACCCCACTTTGCAGGGAGGGGGCGTTTTCAGTCAAGTCCAAGTTCAGTTTTAAGAATTTTTAACTCAAAAGATGCTTTAGAAACAACACCCCGCACTTTTAAAATAAAGCAATCGCCACCAGGGTTTTCCTAGCCCACTTGGGAACCAAAGCTCACTGGCCCAAGGCTGCCCCGGATCCCCGAGGCCCCAGGCCTGGCGCTCTCCAGCCTGGGACGCACAGCCCCGGAGGCCGATCCTTCTCCCCTGGGAGTTTTAGCAGCACTTGGCATTTAACCTGCCTGGCGTGCGTGGCTTTCTGGTTCCATCTCCTTGAGCCACATTACTTCTCCCCAGATGTCAGGCACAAATCTGGATTAACATGCAACAGGGCGCCCTGTGCAGCCCGCCAGCCCTCGCCCAAGAGCTGTTAAATGCAGATTCAGCTGAGGACCCCCCGGAGAGCTGCTGTTGAATAAAAATTGTAATCCAAAGGGACCATTTCTTTGCCTCCCGCTGCTTGTGGGAAACCGGGGCTGACGCCCGAGCACAGACCCAGCTAGTCCGCGCTGGCTACGGGCAGGCGTGGCCACCTCGGGAGGCGGCCTTAGGGGCCCGGAGACTCTTCACTCCTCTCTCTCCACTCTCTGGACTGGTTCTTGGAGTGGAAAATGCTTAGACTCAAGGAGTGGCGAGCAACAGACAGCCCTGGGAAGGAAGACTTCATTCGACGGCTCCTTCTGGGAGCGAGGCCTAAAATCTAACGTCTGGGAGGCCAGACTCTTCCCCGCCTAACCACTCTTGACGCCCCCAGTTCCACCCTGAATCCCCCAAACAGGCGTCCAGCCTCCCGACGGGCCCGCTTCCTTCTCCACTGACAACCAGGCTCAACCCTCGCCTCGACCCCTCGCACCATCGTTTCTCTCTGCTCCCGCTCCCGGGGCACAGCCCGGCCCTCGCCGGGAACGGAGGCCCGGAAGCCCCCGGTGCCCCTCGCCTGCCCCCAGTCTCCCGGCACCGGGAGCGCCGTGCGGAGCTGGGAGCGAGGCCGTCGGGAGAGGGCGCCCGGGAGGCCTGCGCCCGCGGGAGGTGACTCTCAGGCCTGGCTCCTCGGGGTCTGGGAGTGGAAGTGGGCGGGGGGGGGGGGGACGACGGACATAGAGGCGGGGATGGGAAACGAGATTACGGCTTCTACTGGCGTCTTAATCTGATAAAAATTAAAAAAAAAAAAAAAAAGCATCACTAAGAGGCCAAATGGATATCCGCCGACTTAGCCCTCCGGGAAACCGGCTGGTATCAAAGTCGTCGATCCAAGGTCCCTGCGCGGGTGGCAGCCTTCGCGCCCTCCGAGGATAAAAGTAAAATAAAATAAACCGTGCCGCCAGTAGGCCCTAGAGACAGGGGGGTTAATGAGCTAACGAGGAGCTGCGCTCGCACCACACCTGAAGCATCCAGTCCCAGAGCGCACCCTCTGCGGGGGCTCAAACTGGCTGGGCCACATTCGCAGACAGGTGGCGAGGCCGTCCTTTTTGGGCCCAGCCCCCAGGGCGCCGCATTAAGGGTCCAGCAACCCCAGGAACCTGCAAGCAGGCTTCGGTCCGGAGAACTGGCGCTCAGCGGGCGGCCTTAGTGCCTGGTCTCTGTCTCCCCACCTCCCAGAGCAGGGGACTCCACTCCGGGGCCGAGGCTAGGTCCCGCGTGCGCCCCGCGCTCTGCGCTCCCAGTCCAAAGAGAGCCCAGGCACGCTCGCTCCTGGCTCCCGGGAAGCGGACAATTAGGAAAACAAACTTGGGTTTACTGCCCTCTGACCAAGACCGAGGGGAGCTCCAGGGGTCACGCGAGCGCGCCCACGCGCATTGGCCAACAGCGCCATGAGCCCAACCAAAGCTGCGAAGCCCACCAGCAAGCGGTGGGGGCGGAATGAACACTTCTCATTTTTTTTAGGTGAGGGAGAATAAAATGCGAATTTTTATCCACTACAATTGCCTACGAATCTGCATATCTCAAATTAAGGTAACTGTGTAACAAAAGTTTACCGAAGGAGTAGGGGGGAAACTCAATGATGTATCAATTTTGTGTCCCCGCCCCAATAAAACCCATAGCTTTGGTCCTTTATCTTTGGCTTTAATAAAATAATGATTCGTTGAGAAAATGGGGTATAAATCTTCATTTTGGAGGCAATTAAAGTGTTGATTTCATTCATGCCCCTAAGCGATTCTTGTAATTTGCTCAAATAGCTTTATGTACCCAGCACTCCGGAGCTCTTAGAATCCCATTTTCTAGTTAGGCTTGTTGGATTACAATTTTTATTCAACAGCAGCTACACGAGGGTTCCTCAGCGGAATCTGCATTTAACAGCTCCAGGGCAAGGGCTGGCGGGCTGAACCAGGCGGGAGGCCCGGCAGCTCGCAGGGACCGAGCCGGGGCGGGAGCCGCCTGCAGTTTTCCCACCTCGGCGGGGCCGCACAGGGATTGCGCAGACTGCCTGTTCTGTGCACTCGTCTACACTGCCGAAAGTTTGCAACTTGCCAAATCATAGTCAAGAACGGGCGCGTTGGCGTTTTTAAAGCTCAGCTCTGCCTGCCCTCCACTGCTCTTGGGGAAAGGAAGAATTCGGCCTCTGTCGCGGGATTACCAGGAGAAATCCAAGCTGGGAATTTATTTTAAAAGGGTGATGTTGAGAGAAGAAAACTTTAAGATGACACCAAGACAGACCCAGGAGTCCGGCACTCCTGCAAGGACTCTACAAGATAGCGGCTAGCCAACAGTGATCATGGCAGAGCTTGCAAAGGAAAACCCTGCATGACTGGCTGTCCTTTGGCTTAACAAAGGCAGGCTGATCTCTCCCCCCCAAGACGGAACTCACGTGCCAAGTCAGAAAGAGAAACAACTCTAGGCCTTCACTCATTTATGCAGAGGCCAGAGGAGACCCGCAACCCAAATCTCTATTCGCGTTGCAGCAATTCACTACGGAGAACTGTCCTGAGCCCGTTTCATCTCACCCGCTCCTCAGGTTTTCACTTTCATTGCATTTTTGCAACTTCTGTGGGCCAATCCAGAGACGCAGCGACAGGAGAGAGAGAGAGAGAGAGACTGGGAGCAAACAGTGGTGTTAGGGTGAGAGAGGGAGAGAAATCCCCCCAGCAACTCCAAATAAAAGTCATCCCCACTTAGCAAAGCAGCGGAAGAAGGGCCTGGAGGGAGGACCGAAGAGGAGGGGGCGAACAAGCAAGGGCCGGCAGTTGAGAGCGAAGGCGGGGCGAGGCCCCCCACCGCCACACCGAGGGAGTCGCCAGGGTGCCCCTGACGCTGACACTTCCAAAAGCTGCCAACATAGAGGGCCCAGTGCACGTACCAGCTGGAGGATGAGTAGAAAGGAGGAGGAGAAACGTCCATATTTATCTGTTTTTATAACCTCGGCCTGGTCTTATTTTTTCTACTAAGTACAATAAAATGGGCGAGCTTGCAGCGAGCACTGCACAAAGCAATGCTCAGTGAGGTCTAGAAGCGTTCGGCCGAGGAAAACTGACAAGACAGGCTAATGAACCGTATAGACAGGGAGAAAATAGCCAGCATTTGCTAGATTTCAAACCCTCGCTGTCTCTCTTAGACCACCTATCTTGGGTTTATTCCTAATAAAATAAGAAATAAGCAGACCCTACACTTTTCTTTTCTTCGAAATAGAAGGGGGAAAAAATGCTCCAGAACAAAGCCCTACAATCAGAGGCAGTCACTGGCAGTTAACACTCCCATTATTATAGAGGGTAAATAAAATAAAGACAAAAATTAAAAGCGACAAGAAACAGGTCAAGTTTGCAGGCAAAGCTTTTACAAGCTCATCTCTCCAGGTCGAATCCCAGAGCCAGCCTTAATGAAGCAATAATAGCCACATTATTCAAAAATTTTCATTTCGATGGAAATGTATCTAAAAGGGACTTAATCATATGCAAATAATAAAAGGAGGTGGTAGTGACCCAGCAAGCAATATGCATACAGATTTTTTTTTTCAAGGGATGTTGAAATTGAAAAGCGCATACCTGGTCGGTTAGATTTGCTGATCTTGTTATATCTTCACTGTCTGATTTTGATCCTCCTTCTCTATCGTCTATCACCAAATCGATAGGCATTTTCCCTTTCAAACAGCTAATATACCGGTGGCAGAAATTGTCACATAATTCGTGTACCTACATTATGACAGAAATAAAAAAATGGAAATATAATCAGGAGTGCATAAATGACATTGACAAGTGCAAACCACCCCCCTTGTGAGATCCAAACTTCCAAATAGGGAAACACAGAGCAATTGTCCTCCAGAGACCCCCAGACGCATCCAGAATTAGGAATAACTTTCTTTTCTTGCAAAATAGAGATATCCCAGAAAATTGACAGTGACAAGATGATTCACAGGCTACAACATATTCAACACCCGTGTTAAATTCATCTGCTCCCAGGGCCGTGGCCATTAGAGAGGTGACCTGCGTGGGTGACATTTAAGGTAAACTATTTAATTTCATCCACTTACTTTATCATAAGTCCTTTTCCAATGAGGCTAAGGGAAAATGTTAATATATACATATATAATATATATATATAATATATATATTAACACACACACACACACACATATACCACCAAAGGACTACTACTATGGTGGCATAGGATGTATGTCTGACAGCCCAAGTCCTTATAACATTTGTAATTAGAGATTCTCCCCATAAGAAGCATATTTTAGGTTACTTTTAAAAAAGAGAAGAAAATCAAATTGCCAGTACTCATGATGTGAAAAACACCTACAGCCACAAAAAAAAGTATCAAATTGATTTTTTAAAAAAAAGGAAAAAGAAAGCTTCAAAATATTTAGGTATAAGTGGAGCGGTCTCTCACAGGCCTCAGGCATCACTGACATGCAAAACTCACAAGAAACCCCAGTGTGCTTGCAATTTAATGTTAGTTTGAATTACAATGCATTACGTTTTTATTGCTGAGATTTATAGAACAGCTAGCAAAATCATGTTATCCCACACCCTTTCCTGAGTGTGAAGGTGGGCTGTGTGCAGGATTCACAGATTCAAGAAATTGACACAACTATCAACTCTGCTTTGTCTCTGCACAAGGTTTAATGTGCCTCCCTCACCACCTCCTCCAGACTCCCTGCCCACTCCTCCTCCTCCTCCCTCCGCCTCTCCTCTGTGTCTGACCTGCCGCTGCTCTCAGACTGTCTTCCAGAAACTCACCAAAACTAAACAAAACTCCCTCACCCACCCACCCAGAGGTAGCAAAGAAAAGCGGGAAGAGGAAGAGAAATCACAAAGGTAAAACCTGTGAAGCAAACTCACAACAGCATTCTAAACATCAAGAGAGATGCCTAGAATTGCAACTATTTATACAAAGCCAGCAAAGTATTAAGAATGAATGCGAGGCTAGGGCATTTGAGATGCGGGTTTTAGTGGCTGAAATCGTAATTAAACTGCAAAGAGAAATGGACGCTAAGATTGGCCTTGACACTAATTACCAGAAAGAAAGACATTTATGCAAATGTCTCAGAAGCCTGAACTTCAGCCATTCAGAACCCTCCCCCCACCCCACCCAACCCCACCCCCTCAAGTTTGGGGGTGAGGAGAAAGCAAAAGGAAAAGAGGCTAGAGAAATTACCTTCTCTAATTCCAACAGATGAAACCTTAATACTTGTATGGCTTGAATCATCTGCAAAGATACAAAAAGAATGAGCACCCTATTCCTGGTTTGCAGAAAATTGGCTGTCACAGCTCTACTATCTCCAGCCTATCCCCCCCCCCCCCCCAGTAAATAGAGTTATTTTGATTTATGGCAATAACACTAAAACTTAATAGCAGCGACTGGGTACCATCTAGAGGTTTATATTTCTTAAGGAGAAAAAAAATAGCTAAAACAACAACAAAGCATCTAAGTGGGGATCATAAACACTCTCCTCTCCCATGGCTCTTCCCCTTCTCAGCCCCACTGCCCCCACCCCACCTGCAAGGGCCACATCCCTGGACTAGATGTTTCCGTGTAAGGAGCGCACGGAAAATATTCCAAATAGTCCCCAAAGTGTGGCTTTTCACACTGCAAACTTTCTGCGGCTTTCCGCACACCTTTCAAGCATACTGGTGCTCTGGGGGCTCTTGCCCGGTTGCTGCCCTCGTGACGCGACTTTGAGGGCTGGGAAGTCCGCAAAGTTTAAGCACACACGCTGACAGGCCCGGAGATAAATCCCCGCGCTGATTAGAGCTGCGCTGCCCGGCTGTCATAAAAAACAAAAGCTCGCGTTTCCCCGCGCCGGCTTGCCCGGCCCCTCTCGAGATGAATTTATTTCCCCGGGATCTTGTCTCGGACCACTTGTCCGTGGACGGAAACGTCTGCAGCCGCCTTGCAGCTACGGGAAGACCCGTCTCGAAACCTTGGGGCTCTTAAAGCAAAGCTGGGGGCTTCGGGGGAGGGGTGATGGGGAGGGGAGTAAGGGGTCCGCTCTTACCAAGTTATCCAGTTCTGGATTAGAAGAAAATAGAGGTTTTTCTGCGCGAATCTAAATACAAGTGAGAAGAAGGGGGGGGGGGGGAGAAAGAACATTTGAAATCTGGTCGCCTTCCTAGTTTCTTGCCTCATTACACTGTCGGGGGCAAAGATGGACCTCCGGGAAGGACTCGGTGACACCGAGTTCGTCCCGCGCAGAAACACTTCAATGTGAATCAAATAAGCCAAAAACAAGCCCAGAGCTCAGGGTTACTTCTACCAGCAACTATGCTTCTAGAGGACGCTGCCTTGCTCGCCAAGACCAAGGCAGCTACAGCGCGTGGTGTTTGTGATTTTATTTTACAGAGTGAGCTTTCTGCGTTAGGTTATGAAGCCTGAGTTGGGAAGATATGGGTGATTTTAAGTCGTCCGCGGACACTCATACAGGAGGAAAATCTCAGGGTAGATGTCACAGGCATGGCTTAGGGTGGACTATTCGCTGGTTACTTTTGAAAATGTGCTGGGTGAGGGAGGGAGTTTCTTTCTTCCTTTCTTTTCTCTTTACTTTTTTAAACACGTATTTTGCTGACCTGTTTGGCGAACACGGCTATATCTTCATTGAATGACTCTGACGAGCAGACGTCACCGCCCGCCACCCCCGGCTCGCGGGGGGTACAAGTAGCTAATTCACATTTCTCAAAAATCAGTGCTAAGAGAGGGAAGAGGGGGTGTCTGCAAGAAAATACAACAGTCACAAACAACACAATGGTTAGTCCCGAGTCAGTGAAAAAGGCGCCCAAGAAAAACAACCAGAGGAGCTCCAGGCAGGGACCCCCTCTCTGATTTTGCCAGCTACTTTTTTCCTCCGCCCTCCCCCCCCCAGGTGACTGCTCACCTCCCCTTCCTCCTAGGGCTCCGAAATCGGAGGCCCTTAGCCACGGACAGTATCTGAGGGTCGGTTCAGCATATCTGGCCGGAGAAATTGGTAACATTTGCTAAGAATAAAACCCAAGCGGATCCAGCAGCCATTTTGAATTAAGTTTCCCACCCCGACAAGCCCTCGTCCCTCCGCGGCACATCTAGGACCTGGTGGAGAAGAAAGGCGGTGGGCGTTGGGGTTGGGAAGGCTCGTTCAAGTGGGTTCCTCCAAGGCAGCCTTGCGAAGCCCAAGACTCGGGGGGATCTTGGTGGCAGGCACTCAGCTAACTTGGGGAAAGGACCTCTATAGCTGCAGGACCGACTGTCAGAGGGCTGCACCTACCGATCCGGATCCCACGGCCCTCGGAGAGCAGGAAGGCTCCTCCTCAGCTCCCGGCACACTTCCCTCCCTTAGCCAATGGCCCCCACTGCCCCCCAAAGAAAGTTCCTTCAAATGTTCCTGCGGTAAAGCCTTTCATTTTTTGTCTCTGCGGAATGGCAAAGAAGCTAGAATAGCGAGCGAGGGGCCTAGATGTCGCTTATCTCAACCCATAAAAAAAAAAAATGCTTCTACTAATGCTCAAGGAGGTGTCTCAAGTCTTTTATTAGCTCTCACAGCCCAGCCAGGAATTTAACAGTTTGGGGTCCTTTTCAAAGCTTCCCCAAATGTTCTGTCCCTGAGCCTAAACCATTTGCAGTTAACGCTGCGGAGAGAACGCTGGGATTTCAACAAGCACATCGCACAAGGGACCAGAAGATAAAGCAGAAAGGGTTTTCAGCTGGGGAGGGTCAGTGTGGCCTGATTTTTTTCAAAAGAAGAACTAAATAGAAATAAAAGTTGCTGCAAAGTAAAACGAGGTCCCCAAATTCATGAGCACACAGTAGGCACAAGTGACTTTCAAAGGATTTTACCAGCCCTGGGTCTAATCGACTGGCCTGGGAGAACACCGGGTACACCACAGTCAACAACACTGGCCTGAGAGCACCCCCACACCTACTTCCAAATCCTGCAGGTTTCGCCTTTGAACACAAAGTACTAAAACGGCTAGAAGTTTCTTAATGTCTATAACAATTCAGAGCTCGCTCGCTCCTTGCCTATGGTGGTCAAACTCCCTAAATGCAAAGCATGTTCCCCCTTGCCTGACCTGCAACTGTCCTCCCTTGATTTTATTGTGCGGCGGCCGAGCCAGCATACGGTTGCTGAGTAAACTTAGCAAGTCAGAACAATCAGTGGCTTAAAAGATTTTCCCTTAAACTAAAAGTTTCGTTCCAACACAAAGGCGCCTACATTTAGAAATCCCCAGCGCTCTCCCAGCGAAGTCGAGCAAGCGAGGACTCCAACCCGCTGAGCTACAGAGCCAGGGTCTGAGAGGGGACGAGGGACCTTTGGCAACTTCTCCTGCAGGGCGACCCCCTTCACCGGCACGGCCTCGGCAGAGCTGGGTGCTGGGCAAGCGCTGAGCATGTGTGCAGACGGGGGGCGTCCGGGATGGCAGGCTGCCCCCGCAAATTCTCCATGCAATGCAAATGAAAAGTTACCAAATAGTGTACCTCCAAGCCATAGAGCTCTGGCTTTCCTTTTACCAAAGGCACAGGGAAATAGAAGAAACATCCCGTCTCTACTACTTAACCTGCTGCCCATTGTACCTACCCATAAATGGCATCTTTATCTCTCTTTAAAGCGTCATTGACGGAGGAACCCATGCTGGGGGCCATGGCGTTGGTGTGAGCTGTGTGCGGGTACTGATGGGAGTGCAGAGGAGGCCCGTGGTTCAGGTGGTGGACCGGCTGCATGGACCTGGCCGCATGCGGGTCCCCATACATCGTGGAGGGGATGCCTACTCCATCCATGCCCCCATAATGGGGTAGATCGTCGTACTGCATGACAAACAGGAGAAAACAAGGTTCAGGAGGCCAGGCGGGCAAACAGGGAGACGGCAGGGCACCGAGCTTATATAATGTCAGTCCAGCTGGATCCTTCAACCCGGAATTCAGTGGCCTTGCATCTCTAAAGTTGAGATTTCTTATTTTAAAAATGATATCTAGAGTAAAAATTCTAGGATTCCCTCTGAGACTCGGCTGGGATGAACGGTCTTGCCCTAACTTGTGTCCCTATCAACTAGTTCAGAAATTCAGGATCCTTTTGGCAAGGAAGGAAGGAAGAAAGAAGGAAAGAAAGGGAGGCATTCTCCCGGAGGGCGGAAGGTAAAACGTGCATGTCTCTAGAGGAGGAAATTCAAAATCACAATAATAAAACGTGCCAGGACAGTGCAGCAAACCCGCCTAGTTTCACAGCCCCTTCCCATCAGGGGGAATAAAAAAAAAAAAAAAGTTACAATGGGAACAGCTAAGCTAAGCACATGAATTCAGACAGGCTTCTCATTTTATTTCTCTGCCAGCGTGGGGTTAGGCAGTCCTGCAAGACACTGCATTTCCTTTGCTTTCCAAGGCAAACTCTGCTAAATTATACAAAACTAACTGGCCTCCTTATAAGTGAAACTTAGAGAAACGAAGCTTTTCATGTTCATTAGAGCTGAATTTAAAATTGGGCAATTTCACCTCAAAGTTAAAGAAAACCTATAGTTGGAACAGTTAGATATTCTATTTTCTCTACTCTTATGAACTTTCCCCCCAGACTAGAAGTCAATGAGGCAAATGTAACTCATCAGGTGTAAAGTAAATTCAAAAGCAAATGCACATACAACCCCCATTTTCTCTCTTCAGAAAAACTACTTTCATATTGATTGTCATTATTTTTGTGTGCAAAATTTAGCTATTTAGAATTTTCTCCTTGGTTCATTACGGGCAAGTTCTTTTCCCAAGATCTGGAGGCGCCAAGAGTGAAATGATTTTCAAAGAAAAGAGGAATTGCCACTTTCATCTCCTTAAAGCCAGAGGTGTGAAAATAGTTTGGAAGAACGCTGACATTTGCCTGAACCAAAGCAGTAAAGAAAAATGTGTCAGCCTAGTAACTTTCTTTTGCAAACAGGGCTTTGAGGGCCAGGACACAAATTATGCAAGGAAAGCTTTTGGTAGCCCCCCCTTTCTTTTAAGAAACTACCTCAGTTGGGTTGTCATTGTCTCACTTTACTCTCACTACATTTCCATTCAAATAGGAATATTGGGGAAATTAGTATTACATTTTTAAAGTGAGTAGCTGTGTCCTTAGTATCCAATTAGTGCAGGGCTTTTCTAACAAAAACTTTCAAAGTATTACCTTTTATAAAAATCCATGCACATTAAAATCACTTTTAAAAGATGAATGTTTTCCGACCCCCAAAGCCATTGTACTATGACAAAGTCATTTGCTTAAAAAAGCTAAATACTTCTAATGATATTAAAAGATGAGCACAATCAATAACATATCAGAAGTTTCTAGCTGCTTCATTTACTTTAAAAATAGCTTTAAACTTCTGCTCCCTGAACACTCACATTATACATTAGATATCTAGCGCTTTTTGTTTTTGTTTTTTAAACAGATGATTGCCCGAGCTTGTATTTTTATTTATATAGCTGCTGGTTAGGAATCTATAGAAAACTTGATTACTTGAATTAATTACATGTAACATACATAAGTCTACAAATGCACTGAATAAATTCTCTCGCTTTAGGCCACGGCTTTAGGAGCCTCATTCAAAAAGACAGAGAAAAAAAAGGAAACTTTTTAGCAGTGTCTTTCAGCCACGTTTCAATTTAATCTCACATTTGAGTTCCACAATTGTTTTTTAATACGTACCCTTTGCGCCATCGGCCTCCCTGGCTCCCTTCCTACTTCAACTTCTAATATATCCTCTTTAAGGCCAGTGTGAAAAGAAACAAATAAGCAAACTCCCCCGGAAAAAAAATTTTTTTTAAAGCACGACGAAAAATCCCTTAACGTCTCCAGCAACGTGAGCTACTGGTCCCAGATCTTCGGTCTACGGGACCTGAAGCAAAGCGCCCGAGTCACTGAGCATAAAAGCGCTCCGTTTCCAAGACAGCAGCGGGGGCAAAAAAAAGCAGATCTTCTCTCCCCCAAAAAATCAGTTTAAAAAAAAAAAAAAAGAGCGCCCCTCAGACCCAACTACCAAATCTCATGGCTTTCTGCCACTCCGGCTGTCAATCACAGGCGAGGTTGTCAACGTGGTGAATGAATGATCATCCGCTCTGTCTTCTTCTGGTCAGAACACCTCAAATGTTAATATTCAAATGCACAAAGCCCTAGCGCTCGCTTCCCTTGAATCAGTCCTAATTCCTAATCAGTTTCTCTCTTCTCTCGCTCGCTCTTTCTCTTTCTCTCTCTCTCTCTCTCCCTCTTTGCAACTGCTGCACTGGAGGGAGATTAGAGGAGGAGGGTTAAAAAAAATGTCTGTCTGAGTTTGTCTTAAAGGAGCCACGATCGATGCTGCCCGCTTGCAGTCCCCGTGCGTGTGTAAAGTGTGTGTTGCACAGGCGGAGAGGTGGATTCCGACCAGAATGCTAGAACCCGGAAGTAGTGGTGGCCATAACAGGTCGCGTCTTACACAATGCATTGGGCTGCAGCAAGTAGGCTCCTCGGCAGGGGTGGGTGCGCGAAGCGAGCTCTGGCCGCACTGGAGAGGCAGAGAGGCGCTCCATTAAATCGCATGCCCAGGCACAAACACCCACACGCCCAGGGCACACGCGCACAAACGCGGGCAGGAGCCCCCGGCCGCAGGCTTTATTTTCCGTATTCTTTTCTCTCCCTCCCCCTCCAGACTCTCTCCCCAAAGCCGACTCTCTTGAAATAAATTGGGAATAAACGCGGGGCAGGCAGCAGCGGCAGTTATTTTGCACAGGGCTCTACGCATAGACTTCATGACTTTCCTCGAAATTATTGCTCTGCCAGTATTTTTCGGGGCGGAGGGGACTAATGCGGAAAGTATTGGATTCTCAGAACTGACCACCCCAAGTAGAAAAGTTAAACGGGGAGAGAGGATGAGCAGGAGCAAGGCTGGGAAAGGCTCTGCTAAGGAGTCCCGAGAACGTGGGGTGGTGAAAGCTGGGGCTTTCCGCAGATCCAGCTTAGAGTTGCTGTCAGAAGTGGACACCCGGCCCAAGGAAAGGAAATGCTTGCATTTTCTCACTTTGGGGTCTGGACCTCCCCCACCCCCGAGTCCCGGAGGCCCCCAGCCCCAGCCCCGGCGTCCTGCGCGGAGTGGGAGAGGAAGGGAGGGAACAATGAGCCGAGAGCGAGGAATGTGCCCCAGCGCCTGTTTACAAACACGAAGCTATTTATGATCGCCGGAAAGCGAAACCCGATGCGGGCTCGGAGCAGCCCAGACTTCGCGGGTGGAGCCCGAGCCGGGGAGACTCAGGGAAGCAGGCTCTTTCTCCGACCCGCTCCGAGCGAGGAAGTCGTGCGCCCAGGGTGCGGCGCGGTAGGGTCGGCGCGCTCGGTTCAGGCTACGGCCGCGCCGCCTTTGTCTTCGAAGCGCCGAGGGGCTCTGGGCTCGGCCGTGCCGGGGCCTGGAGGGACCCCGCGCCCCAAGCTCTTCCCCCGCCGCGACGCTCTGCGCTCTCCTCCCCAGCCCTTCTTCCCCCCACTCCGCTTCCCAGTCCCCATTCCGGCTCAGGGAAAACTCCCAGTGCCAAAGAAAAAGAAATTCACTTCAGGAGCTGAGATTTCCCAGACAAAAACCTGTCCCAACCCGCAACTCGGAGGCTCCAACCAGTCGCTGATTTTAACTTTCTCCCGTTAAATACCTATTCTCTGGCCTAACAACAAAATCCTTTCTTTATTCTCCCACTCTGAGCTTGCCTTTTATTATTATATTTAGTGGTGTTATTTTCGTTTTTATTTTTGTGCCCGCCCGGCTCTGATACGCCGAGACGGCTCGGCCACAGCAGCTCGACCAGCGGGCTGGAAACCTCACATCCTCGAGCAAGGCTCGCAGCTCGCTCGGCTCGGAGCAGGATTTTTTTTCCTCCCTCCAGCTGAAACCTCACAGAAAACTCCCCCTGCGGTCGACTGGAAAATGAGCTCACCCAAATCTCGGTAGGCAGCCGTGGAGGAGGGCTCGGCCAATCAGGAGGCGCTCCTGCCAAAGCGGCCGCGCATTGGCTGTGGGGAAAATCAATTATCAAATAATCGATCAGCAGGGAGCTTCGATCTGCCGGGAATGCAAACTGCCAGTCCCCATTCCCGCCCTGATGGTGGCCAAAAGGCTGACTCCCCCCAGAGCAGTCGGCCTCTCGCTCCCAACGCCCCCACCGCCCTCCCACTCCGCCAGCTGCGGACCAAACCCTCGTCCTAAAGGGGGATGTGGATAGGAGAAAGAGTTTTGAGAAAGATTAGGGTGCTCCTATCCGCAGAGGTTGTTTGGAAAAGGTTAGGAGCTCTCAAATGTATTGAGGCTAACTCTTAATGTGCAAACTAAAAGAGAATTTGCATCAGTCCGAGAGGTAGGACTCAAGTTTCTGTTAAGTGGGCTTTCGAGGAGCAAGGAACACAGGGCGAGCATCAGAACCTGTATCTGGAATCAGGTTGCCTCCAGCGCGCGTAGTCCCCCTAAGCGTTGTCTAGTCCTTTAGTACTTCGCACGAGTCCTACCCCCACCCCATAGTGGAGTTTTCATAAAGCCGAGCAGCTGAGTCTTCCCAGCCTCCCGCACACCATCCCCGCCCAGACACCGTACTCGCCCCATATGTGCCTAAAGGACTGACACATTCACACCCAAAGCCTTCAGATGCGCTTTGCCTTGAAAGAGCTCCGACTGTTTAAAAAACATCCTAGGATCCTCATCAATTTCTCTTCTCTTTTCCTTTCTCTCCCTCTCTCTCTCTAACCACACCCCCACCCACCCACCCTTTTTAGGATCTTTAACTTTTCTCTACCGCAAACGTGTAGTTTTTGGGTACAGACGCCCCGGTGCATCACGCGGGAGGTTAAGGCAGGCCCGCATGTCAAAGCCGAGGGTGAATCCAGGTGAATTACCAGCTTCTTTACGCCACTGCCTGACGCTTCCACCCCCACCCCACCCACCCCAACGTGAACTTGGAAACCGAACTTCAGGCCAAGATGGAACCTCCCGGTCTCCGGAAGGCGATTTCTCTGTTTAGTTCTCGGGGAGCTGCGCTGGCTGGGCCAGGCAACGCAATCCTTTTCCGATTACCGGGAGGACCAAACTGGGCCAGCAGCCTGCAAGTCTCCCCCGAACCCCAGCCAGCTTTGGCCCTCACCTGAGCGCCTTCCGACGGCTGCACGCGGGGCTGTGAGCACTGCAGGTCCAGCAGGCCCGCCAGGCTTCAGCGCGGCCGGCTGTAGTGGGGAACGCACGGAGGAGGGGGGTCGAGCCAAACATCGACATGGGCACGTCTACGTTTATGATCCTTAAGTGAACTGCGAGGGAAATTGTGTAAGTATAATTTAACTGCGAGAAATTTACTGCGAAATACATTTCGATGATCACAGTCTTTCAGGGTCCTTAGGGGTTCTCCAGTAAAGGCTTAGGTGACCGGCTTGGAGTTACCTCGACTCTGTGGCCATGTTTACAGATTTGGAAAAGGCCAGTTTTGATAAAGATTTCTTTGACAATAAAATTTATTTTGTATTTTTGCTTTTTGGGAAATTTGTTTCCTAGCAGAGATGAACAAAGAGGGGTCAGGTGAAGTCCCTCCTTTTCAAACATGACCCAAAACTTCAAGGCAGTAGGAAAACTATTTTGTGCTTCAACCATCATGTGTCAGATTACCTTAAAAGTGCTTTGAATTACCTACACACAGGTTTTCCTTAAAGAAAGGGAGAGTTTGAGTTTGTGGGCTTAAATAAACTCCTACTAGTTTTGGCAAGTGTCTTCTTTCTTCCCTCCTCCCTTTTCCATTTATAACTGCGAACCTAATGCTACTCCTAGGTCTTTTTATAAGATTAATTCTGAACAATCAAGGGACTAAAACACTTTTACAATGTAATTACAGTAGTACAAATTGTTTGCCCAAACCTCATTCTGGATAAGGATTTTACAATTAGCAAACAGTTATTACAGTTGGGGCTTGCTGAGAGAAATTGCACAGAGGAAGTCTAGAGTGGTAATATAGTAGCCATAAAAAAAAAAAAAACACACACACACAACAAACCTTTCCTTTGGCAGGGCAGCAATTAATTATCTATTAAAAGGAAAAGGTAAAGGGATAGTTATAGGTATATTAGTAAACTGCTACTGATAATTATCCTTGTTCTATGACAACACCTATCCCTAAGTTATTTCAGATACTTGCTTTTTGAGGCAATAGCACTTTTGTTTTGCAAAAATTTGGCCTGGTGAAGGGTTCTGGCACTTGCCCTTAGCTCTTGCAACACGTGACTTCCATACTCAGCTTGCTCTAAACATCCCAGAGCATCTTCCCAAAGATAGAGAGCGAATACTTTAAAGGGGGCAGGCTGAGGCCTAGGTCTCTATTGTTTAGACCTTGTTGCAAGAAGGCGTTTAAAACAAGTGGTGCCCCTTTAGACTGTTGGTACAGTCCTTTCTGAGCACTCCCCTCTAACTTCTGTTCTCCTATAAGGAATTGTGTCTCTGGAAAGACATATATCCTGAATTAGGCTTTTGTCCCCAGAGTTCACACTGATGAGTCAGCTCCAAAACCCTCAGAAATTAAGGAGGCACCTCTTAAGGTAAAATGTGGTGTATTTGCCAGCCCAGAATAAACAAAAGCCTGTTAATCAATCGAGTTTGGCAGCTGTGTTCACAGAATGATAAGGGTTTATCATCTGCCACCTAACTCTAAGATGCCTGTTAAAATGTTGTGATTGCTCTTTAGGTTGTCCCATGGCGTGGAGGCTTGGGATTTGTACTTCAAGAACATTCAAAGTCTGCGTCTCCCCCCCACCCCACACACACATTAGCATTTGCATTTCAAAAAACAGAAATAAGAAGAGGGAAAGACAGTTTGAAGAAAATGGATTTAAAATCTAGCAGAGATAATAGAGGAATGCTTGAGATAAGAGCCTGGATGTGATAGGAGAGGGGTACCAAGAAGTCAAAGCTAATGAATAGCTGTGAGAAAAGTGAAATAAACTATTTAGAGGTCTATAAAAGGGGGAAACCTGGTTAGGTGATGTGAAAGGGGGTTAACTGAGTGGATTAGGGAAGACGTTAATCAAGTGCCCCAAAGCCATCCGGGCTAGAAGAACTGGGAGATTTGTTTACTGCATTTTGCTTCAGAAAACAATGTCTGGGTCCAGTTCAGAAGTCAATGAGAGGTCAGTTTAGGCTCTCTAACCGTTGCAGGGAAAATACCTAAGTCACTATATTCTGACTGGATAAAGCAAAAGTTAAGGAAAAAAAAAAAAAAACCTGGGGGAGGTGTTGTTTTCCTTACTACCTTTCTATTTCAAATCATTAAAATGCTTTGGTCTCTAGAGGGGGAAAATTACACTGGTTAACATAATTACTAGCTCTGACATTTTCAGAAGTTATAGAGGTCTTTTATTAATTAAATGGAGAGCTTAATAAAATATTCCTAATAAAATTTATGGTTGTCTTAAAACTTTCTAAACAGTGCTATAAATTCTTAATAAAATTAACTGGGAAATGAGTTATTAGCCCACACTTTACCATCCCCCCCCTTCTTCATAAGGAGCGTCTGTAGAATGAAAAGGGAAATAGAAGCCTTTTAGTAAAATATAAATATTAGCCAAAGTCACACATTACTTTAGAAGAGGTGAAGTTTCAACTAAGTTATTTCTAGTGGCTTCACCCTCCAATATTCCCCAAAAGCTACTCACAAAACTTAGACCACTTCTTCCCCTTCTTTACTATATATTATATATGTGTGTATATGTAAGCTCATATGAAATACAATGCTCCATTTTCTGGTCTGAGTTGTGTGTTAAGTTTAATAAAAAGCAGAGGTGCATCATGCAAAATTCCAATATAGGAATTTTGAAGGTTCAGTTTGTAAATATTTTATCAATTCAAAGATAATTAAAAATGAAATGTCTTACAATTTCTCTCAATTTAATTTCTTTAAAGGTAACTTTTAAAAAACAAATTTCTCAATAGTCTTTACCTCTAAACCCCACATTTATAACAGTTGGTACTATCTGAAGCGGCATTTTGTTGAGCGGATATGCAAAACTTTCTCATATCACTACACTTTAAAACCTTGGTTAGTTATCTTAAGTTTTGAGAGACTTCTCTGCTTCACAGATACAATACTGTCTGGTTGGCTGTTTAAAATGAACAGCACTCTCAAACATACTCCAACCAAATGAAACAGCCTTGGCGGATTTTTCAGCTTTTGAAGGCTTGAT